ATAAGATACTTAGTAGTCGTCAGCGTTTACAAACGCATAGGAATAAACGTGAGGAAACATACCGATGTCTTTCAAAGAAGTACGATCTAGAAGGAGTGGATTGTTACTAGTGCGGTGATCTTATCAGTCGCTGCAAACATAAAGATGATTACCTAAGGAATAGGATAGACTACCATAGGAAAATAAACCACGCATTTCCTTCTTTTGATCGTGCTGAAGGTGTCCCGTGGACTAACAGGGAATACTGGAGGGGAGTGTGTGAGCATTGTGGATGTGTCAGAGAAGAGGAGCACATCTTTAACTGTTTATTAACCAAACATTAAACATTATGAGGACACTTTTTAGATAGTTTCCTAGTCATTTAACCAATTATTAACCTTATCCTCAACATTATAAGGACACTTTTTAGATAGTTTCCTGGTCATTTAACCAATATTTAACCTTATCCTCCACATTATAAGGACACTTTTTAGATAGTTTCCTGGTCATTTAACCAATATTTAACCTTATTCTCAACATTATAAGGACACTTTTTAGATAGTTTCCTGGTCATTTAACATTCTGGGTTGGAGGATTCCTTATCAGTATTGGTATATATGGACTGTATTACATGCGAACCCCCTGCWGACTGCATCGTTAAAAAAGAGTCGCCGACCCTCATTGTCGACGAACCCCACTTAAACGACGCGCCTAACTACATAGAGGCGAAGGAAGGACGCACTTTGCGACGTCAAACGCCCAGCTACCATCCTTCTTCCCATACGACCTCAGATGCGTAAACTCCTGTCCTTCGATGACGTATCGGACGCGATCTGGCGCCCACAGGCTGTACGTGACACCCTCGTGCGCCAACAATAACCGTAGCCTGTCAATATCTTCAAAGGCTACATAATTTTTTATTTCATACGTAACGCCCTCCTTTAAGTCTCGCCAGTGTATCTGCCTCACAGCCTCAAACGCCATATATTCTATGGAATATCTTTAAGTGCGTCTCCAGAGTCTGCGTGCTTTTAAAGCGCTTGCAGCACCACCTACAGGGAATTCTCAATTGCTCAGCGTATGCGGCAATCGCACGGCAGATGTCGTCGTAGTCGTTGCTTATGAGCACCTTGTAGCCGTTTTCCTTATATCTTTGCAGGAGTAGTTGTTGATCTGGCGATAATCTACCATCACCCTTAGGGGTTTTTAGCTCTACGCAGAAGCCTCGGTAGTACACGTGTGCGTTTAACAGTAGTAAGTCAGGTTGACCTCGTTGGTAACTTTTTTGCCAGCACTTTATGCGCTTGCCGTCGCTGTCCTGCAATTCTCCTAAGCCTGGCGCTATGAGCATTTGGGGGTAAAACCTGCGGATGTAGTCCACCACCTTTTTATGCAGGTCGAATTCGTTTTCTATTTTAAATACCAACTTATTTGGGGTGTCAAAGCGCTTTTCTATTTCGTATTT